CTTGCAGAAAAAAATTTATTATCACGCTAAAAAGACTCAAATAGGATTAATGAGGCATTATCAACACAAACTTGTCAAATCGAAGGAATCTCGTTATCTATCGGTAAGGCAGGTAAGTCAAGATAATAGAGGCAAAGTCTCGGCGGGTATTGATGGAATCTCAAAATTAACACCAGAGCAACGTTTAATTCTAGCTCAGAAATTAGTACTGAATGGTAAAGCGTCGAAAATAAAAAGAGTGTTTATCACTAAATCTAATGGTAAAAAACGTCCATTAGGCATTCCAACTATGGAAGACCGTGCCAAACAGGCACTAATAAAACTCGCGCTAGAACCTGAATGGGAAGCCAAGTTTGAAATCAACTCTTATTGTTTTAGACCAGGTTATAGCACAACTGATGCTAAATGGTGTGTAGCTAAACAACTCCAAGGTGTAGCGAAATTCTTTTTAGATGCTGACATTGAAAAGTGCCTTGATAAAATTGACCACGACTATTTGTTAGAAAAATTAAACACTAGTAGGATGTTTAGAAATCAAATTGAAAGCTGGTTAAAAGCCGGTATTATGCACACATTAAACGAATTGTCAAGCGAGGTTAACCTGTCAGGTACACCTCAAGGAAGTATCATATCGCCTTTATTAATGAACGTTGTTCTACATGGTATGGAAACTCACGTTTTAAATGAATTTGGTCGAGATAAAATTAAAGTAATTCGTTATGCGGACGACTTTATCGTTTTCGGAAAAACCTTAGCGGATGTACAAAAAGCCAAGCAACTTGTATGTGAATTTTTGAAACCGATCGGTTTAAACTTGTCGGCAGAAAAAACTTACATTGGGCATTCGATGAGTCATGAATCTGGGACTTCGGGACCTATTGGTCTTGATTTTCTTTCGTATAATTTTAAAAACATAACATGTTCTAAACATAGAGGGGGTTAAGAGCACCAAAGGAATTAAACAAAATTTTAAATTAAGAACCAAACCTTCATCAGACGCGGTTATTAATCACAAAAAATCGATTAGTCAAATCTTAATCGATTTTAAAGGAGCTCCCATCGGTCGTGTAATGGAACGTCTATCAAGTTGTATAAAAGGCTGGACGTGGTACCATTCTGTATCTCAAGCCACCCGGACGTTTTCAAAACTAGATGAATGGCTTTTCTGGGAATTGTGGAGGTGGGCAAAAAAGCGTTATAAAACAGCAAACAAAGCCAAGCAGAAATGCTTTAGTGTTAAAGGATGAAACTTCAGTTATGTTGAAGATAAGAAAACTTATATACTAGATCGTCACGATAAAACAAAAGTACGCAAATTTGTAAAAATTAAAGCCGGAGCATCCATTTATGATGGCAATCTTGTTTATTTTGCGCAACGTTTGTCTCAAGAAAATCCAAGAATAAAGACTCTCAGAAATTTATTTAAAAGACAAGGCTATTCATGCTCGCATTGTAATTTTTGTATGTTACCATCAGATATCATTGAACTACATCATCAATTAGATTTTGAAGGGAAACGTACAGGAACTATTACCTTTGTACAGGTCATTGCCACGACCAAATACACTCTAAATCCAAAAGTAAGACATTTTAGTCACATCAGAGTGCTGTTCAGTAGGAGCCGTATAAGCGGAGACGCTTACGTACGGTTTTGGAGCAGAGGAGATTACGGTAACGTCATCTTCGACTGTAACATTATCGCATCCTGGAGTTGTAAAAGGCTCCATGGGTTTGTCTGTTCGACAAGAAAGGCGGTACATGATCTGAGTTTAGAACGTCGTGAGACAGTTTGGTTCCTATCTACCGCAAGTGTGAAAAATTGAGAGGGGTAAACCTCAGTACGAGAGGACCGGGAAAAGCGAATCTCTGGTAAATCGATTGTTATACCAATAGCATTGTCGAATAGCTATATTCGTAATAGATAATTGCTGAAAGCATCTAAGCAAGAAACTAGCCTCAAAACATGTTTTTTTAGTTGTAATAGATTATTACATAGATAGGCTTGATGTGTAAGAATTGTAAAATTTTTAGCTAACAAGTACTAATTCTAAAAGTATTTTTTAATTATACTATTAAATGATTTAAATAAAATTAAATTTATTTATTTAAGATAGATTTTAATCCAAAAAATTATAGAGGATATAAATAATTTATAATTTATACAATATGAGTTTGATCCTGGCTCAGAGTGAACGCTAGTAGTATGCTTTACACATGCGAGTTGAACGATTTTTTCGTGGCGAACGGGTGAGAAAATACAGAATTTTGCCTTTTAGTTTAAGGATAAAACGTATTCAGTTTTCTGAAATAAAATTAAAATAATTTACGTTAATACTAAATTTAAAGATTATATTTAATAATTGCTAAAAGATAAATCTGTAGAAGATTAGGTAGTTGGTAATTTAAAAGCTTACCAAGCCTGTGATCTTTAGTTGGTCTGAGAGGACGATCAACCACACTGGAACTGAGACAAGGTCCAGGCTAAATTTAACGGCCAGCAGTGGGGAATATTGTACAATGGACGAAAGTCTGATACAGCAATACTATTTGAACGATGACGGCTGATTTGGTTGTAAAGTTCTTTCGTTAAAAATGATAATGACATTATTTAAAGAAGCTAACAGTCCCGGCTAATCTCGTGCCAGCAGCCGCGGTAATACGGGAGGGGCAAGCGTTATTCAAAATAACTGGGCGTAAAGAGTTCGTAGACAGTGTTACAAGTTATTTGTTAATTTTTAAAGCTTAACTTTAAGTCAGCAAATAATACTATTTCACTTGAGTTTTTTTCAGAAGAGTAGAATTTTATATCAAGGGGTGAAACCTGTAGACATATAAAGGAATACCATCAATAGCGAAGGCGACTCTTTAGTAAAAACTGACGTTGAGGAACGAAAGTATAGGGAGCAAACAGGATTAGATACCCTGGTAGTCTATACAGTAAATTCTGAGTGCTGTAATTTAATTAATTTATTTGATTGGATTCTTTTAAGCTAACGCTATAAGCACTCCGCCTGAGGAGTACGGTCGCAAGATTGGAACTCAAAGGAATTGACGGGGGCCTACAACTAGTGGTGGAGCATGTGGTTTAATGCGATAATCCGCGCAAAACCTTACCAATTTTTGAATACAATACATTAAAAAAAAATAACACTAAGTGCTATTTTTTTTTGTAATTTTACAGGTGTTGCACGACTGTCGTCAGTTCGTGTCGTGAGATGTTTGGTTAATTCCTTTAACGGGTGCAACTCTTATCTTTAATATATTATAAATTTTAATTTAAATTATTATAAAAGATACTGCTTATGATAAATTTGAGGAAGGTAAGAATTAAGTCAAGTCAATGTGGCCCTTATAAATTGGGCTACACACGTGCTACAATGAAAATTACAAAGAGTAACAAGAATGCAAATTTAAGTTAATCTTTTAAAAATTTTCTCAGTTCGGATTGTAATCTGCAACTCGATTACATGAAGTTGGAATCACTAGTAATCGCAAATCAGCATGTTGCGGTGAATATGTTACTTGGCCTTGTACACACCGCCCGTCACATGCAAAGAGTTAATTTTGCTTGAAGATTTAATATTTAGTTATTAAGTCAATTGAGGAATTGGTGATTTGGATGAAGTCGTAACAAGGTAGCTGTACGGGAACGTGTAGCTGGAAATGATGGAATAGCTCAAACGATAGAGTAGCATTAAATTATTAATATTGCTGATGAGGGTTCACATCCTTCTTCCATTAAATGATGAAAATCTCTTTTGAATTTTTTTTTCCAATTATTGCTATAATTATTATGTCTTGCTCCCTCGCAGTTATTTTTACGAAAAGTACTATTCATTCAATAATTTATTTAGTTTTAAGTTTTTTAACTTGCTCAGTCTTTTTATTTATGATAGAGTGCGAATTTTTTGCTTTATTATTTTTAATAATTTATGTAGGTGCTATCGCTGTCTTATTTCTTTTTGTCATCATGATGCTAGATTTAAAAATTTTACCTCAAAACAATCCAACAAATCTAAAATATATTATATTTGGTATTTTTGTTAGTTTAAATTTTTTTTATTTTGTTGACTTGACTTTTAATAATTATTACGAATCAAATCCTTATAATAGTCTTGTTTTAATTCCGAATATATATACAAATTTTTTTAATGAAGATGATATTTCAGAAGTTGTAGTTATTGGTCAAATATTATATACCCAATACGTTTTACAATTTTTAATAGCAGGGGTCCTTTTAACCTTAGCTGTTATTGGTGTATGTGTTTTAACATTAGACCCAAGAGGTTTAAGCAAAAAAAAACTATGATTGAAACTAAAAAAATTATAATTTACGCCGTAGTTACTCTTAGAGCCAGTTGGGCGTTTAATGATTTACCTCTAATTGATTCAGACCTATTTGATATTTTTAAATCCGGCCCGAAATTTAAAAAAAAAATATATTAGATTAGACTTTATAAAAAACATATGGGGATAGATTTTTGGAGAACTTTATGTCTAGTATGTTTTTAAAACACTTAAATCGAAAGAAGTTGCGTGTTTTGGAAGTATCTTATAAAATCAAAATTTTTGTGGTATCGGATAATTAGCTGATTTTATTTTTATAATGGAATAGCTCAAATGAGAGTACATCTCTTTTTTCTGTTAAATGTTAAAATTATTAGAATAAAGTTTTTTATTTTATTTTATTTTGTTGATTTGTGAATGCACAAGCTTTTTTATAAACTTTTTTTCATAATATCGATTCGTATGTATTTCTTTAATAATTAAATATACGAATCTATTGGTTATCAAATTTTCCTTTAGAAGAAGGTACACAAATTATTTGTGAATTAAATTTAAAATTTCTGAAAAAAATGAGTAAATAATTGCAGACGGGGAAATATTATTTGTTAAATCCTAGAGATAAAATTTTAGAAACAGATATTAAAATTTTTTAAAATAAAATTTGGAAGAGATGTATTTCTGAAAATGTTTATGCTGTTTATAAATATAAAGAAAGTGGAATAGCTCAGTTGGTAGAGCATTAGGGTCATAACCTAATTGTCGTGGGTTCGACACCCTCTTCCATTAATGTTAAAATTTTTTAAATGTCATACATAAAACCTGATTTTATCAATTCAATATACAAGTTTAGTTCTCGCTGGCTTTTTTCAACAAATCATAAAGATATAGGTATACTTTATCTTATTTTCGGGGCAGTGTCAGGAACAGCAGGGACAGCGTTATCAGTATATATTCGTATAATGTTATCGCAACCTAATAATGATTTTTTAGCGAATAATAATCATTTTTATAATGTTGTGGTAACTTCACATGCTTTATTAATGATTTTCTTGTGCGCCACTGAGGCTCTATCAACTGTGCATACTAAGTGTGCAAGGACTGTAACGACGTCCTTTAAACTATTCGACCGACCTTTGAGTGAAAACAAAATAGGGGAAAATAGCATGTCGACAAAAAGCCCATTTGCTGGAAAGCGGATATTCCAAAAAATAATGGGTGAAGTAGGTTACCTATGAATAGAATGTTAATTTCGAATCTGAGTCAAAGGCTGGGTTTCATGACCAAATATTTTAACCGCGATCGAATATTTGTAAGAGCTTGTGAGAGTAGAAGAAATCGATATCAAGAGTTGCCTCTTACAGCCACTATTGCACTAGATGTAATATGTACGACTAAAGGAATTCTAAGGGTAAATATACCAGTTGTAGCAGTAACTGTGGGATTGCCTAAGTCTCGAAAGAGATATGGTAACGGAGGATTAATAATAGCAGCTACTCAAAACACGAGTTTTGGTAATACGTCTAATGTAATGTTTAGAGAATGTGAAGTAATCCAGCGTAGGAATCTAACGACTTTTAACCTAGGAATGGGTCATAAGAAATTAGTTCAAGATTTAAATAATAAATTCTATCAAGATAAAATTTGTAGTCCTGAAAGGTTAATTCAAGCTTATGAGTTTGTCAGCAAAAATAAAGGAAGCAATACTAAAGGTGTTGATTCAGAGACTTTAGATAGCTACTCAAGAGACACGATTTATAGTGTGAGCAGCAGCTTGAAAGATCACAGTTTTAAATTTAAACCAATAAGACAAGTAGAAATACCAAAACCTAACGGTGGTATCCAGAAGTTAAGTATCCCAGGTCTTAGAGATAAAGTCGTTCAGAAAGTTATGACAATGGCTCTTGAGGAAATCTATGAGCCTAAATTTTTAAACAGTTCTCATGGGTTTAGACCTAAAAAAGGAACACATTCTGCTTTAAAATCTGTTACACGTTGGACAGGGACGAAATGGTTTATTGAAGGAGATATTTCGAAGTGTTTTGATACTTTAGATTGTCATATCTTAGAACAGTTATTAAAAAAAGAAATATTTTCGAAGCCTTTTATAGATTTATATTGGAAGGTTGTTAAATCACATTATATAAATCCTGTGAACAAGGTTAAAGAGTTTAGTAACCTTGAGGTTCCACAAGGCGGAGTTTTGTCCCCGATACTTTCAAATATATATTTACATGAGCTTGATAAGTTTATGCAAATTATAGTTGACAAATCTAAAAAAAGTGGTCCAACAAGCCTCGACAATCCTGAATATAAAAAAGTGCATACTAAAATTTCAAATAGGAGACAATACTTCTCATCTACTTATAGATATAATCGAAATCTTACTGAAGAACAACAACAAGAAAGATTAAAAGAAATAGTAAAGTTAGAAAAAGTTCTCGCTAAATATCCATCAACAATTCAAGGTCCAGGATATCGAGTGTATTATGTTCGGTACGCAGACGATTTTCTAATTGGTATAAATGGGCCTCGTCGAATGGCTGAAGAATTAAAGCAAAAACTCAAAGAATTTCTTTTAAATGAATTAAAACTTACTCTTAATTTAGAAAAGACAAAAATTACCCGTTCAGATCAAGGAGCTTATTTTTTAGGTGCAAGGTTAATGTGTCATACAAGTCGAACTAATGATCAAAAGCGACGGGCTAATTCGGTAACTAAAACTGGAAGAATAGTTCGTGCTAGAGTATCTCAAGGAGGTATAATAGCATTGGTTCCTCTTGAGCACTTAGTACAAAAACTCCAATTGCAAGGTATGTGTAAAATTAAAAGTTTAAGAAAACATGATGTGATACCGACAAGAAAAACTGCTTGGACTAATCTTGAGCTTTTTACGATTGTTAAAAAGTACAATGATGTGTGGCAGGGTCTTTTAAACTACTACTCTTTTGCTTATAATCGATGTCAGTTAAATTGGATCCAATATTTATTACATCATAGTTTAGCCTGTACTTTTATGAATAAACTTAAGCTTAACTCTCGAAAGCAGGTATTTAAAAAATATGGTAACACAATTCAAGTTCGGGATAATAAAGGTAAGTTAATAGCTTTTAAACAAAAAAAAACCTTACCAAGAATTGATAAATTTTCGACCAATATTTTACCGTCTGGTTTTGAAACGTTTAAATAAAGTCTTAGAACTAAAAGTGTTTTTGATAAATGTTGCAAAATATGTGGCATGAAACGTTATATTGTAATGCATCATCGAAGACCTTTAAAAGCTCATAAAACTGACAACACCTTAAAAGGTATACAAATTAATCAGTCACGTAAACAAATACCATTGTGCGTTTCGTGTCATCAAAAAGTGCATAAAGGTATTTATGATGGTCCTGGAATTTATTAATGTCAAATTTAACTGCGTGGAGAGCCGGGTGCGATGAAAGTCGCACGCCCGGTTTGGAGGGGAGGTTGTGATTCCTTTAAAATGGATTGTGATCTTACCCTACCATGGTAATGCCTACTCTGATAGGCGGATATGGAAATCTCTTTGTCCCGTTGATGATTGGGGCACCTGACATGGCATTTGTGCGCTGTTTTGCGTTATTTTGTTTTGCCTGGATTGTAACAGGCTCATCCTACTGGAACGGATGAAGCATACTGTACTTAGTTTAGGAGGAAACTCTAAGACGAACATAGCATGTACAGAAAAAGCGAAACGATTGCCAACCCAGGTGGATCGATTTGTGCTAATGCTAACTCTCATGGTAAAAGTTATACTACTTGAACTTCAATTCCTTGACCCCTCTCATGTCGGGGTTTGCCTTGTGGGTTATAGGGCTTATCTTTTTGATGTTCGATACGGGAATGCTATCGAACATTCCAGTCAGAAGAGTCGAGTGGCTATCAGCCATTTTAAGGGAATGAGTGGGGTACCTAAAAGAGTTTCAGGACAAGATATACGAAATACAGGATGGTCTAAGGTTCTACTAACGAACTATGATTACAGAGTCTTCGTAGTAATGAAATCCCCTCTAGTAGGAGGGAAAGAAGCCTTACTTAACGGTAGGGATATTGTGAAGGGAGGCAGTCAACGTGGTTACACAGGAGGACGGTATGTGTTTGGTCGCTGGACTGGCATTCACAACTCTTACACTCGTTTTTATTCAACGGAACCTTTTTTAGAAGACGAATGGAAGAAGCGTGCGACAATCCCGGAAGAATTTGTAGCCTTTCAAAAAAAAAGCGTGAATTGGAAAGGTCCTGTTAAAGATCATATATATAAGTTTTTATTAGACCCACGTATGTTTCAGATAGCATATGGCAAATTGAGAAGTAACTCGGGCAACATGACTCCTGGGATCAATCCAACAACATTAGATGGATTCAGTGAAGAATGGATTCAGGAAACAATAGCATTGCTTAAAAACGAGACCTTTAAATTCACCCCGGGACGACGTGTTAACATCGCGAAACCTCATGGCGGTACTCGTACGCTAACGGTGGCGTCTCCTAGAGACAAAATTGTAATGGAAGTAATGCGAATGGTGCTTGAAGCTGTTTTCGAACCTCGATTCAGTATTCATAGTCACGGCTTTCGTTCAGGACGTAGCTGTCATACCGCTTTGAAACAGGTGAAAGAACAGTTTGGTGTAGCTAGTTGGTATATCGAAGGTGACATTTCTAAATGCTTTGACTCAATAGATCATCATAATTTAATGACTGTGGTTGAATCTGTTATTAAAGATCGCAAGTTTACTCGATTAATTTGGAAGAGTCTACGGACTGGGTCTTTTGAGTTTAAGGAATATCAAATATCTCTAATTGGTACTCCCCAAGGCTCCATCATTAGTCCTATACTTGCTAACATATATATGCATCGGTTTGATTTATTTATTGAAGAGCTCAAAAGACAGTATGATAAGGGTTCTCGTACTCAAGGTCTAAATTCTTATAAACGTTTAAATTGGTGTCTTAATAAAAAAGATTCGCAACTTTCGAAAGAGGAAAAACGAAAACTTGCTATTAAAATGCGGTTACTTCCTGCTAGAGACCCAATGGATCCAAACTTTCGTCGATTATTATATGTTCGTTACGCAGACGACTGGATAATAGGAATTCGCGGAACTCATTCTGAAACTGTTCACTTAAAAAGACAGATAGAAGAGTTTTTAAAAAGGCAAATGGGGTTGGATCTGAATAAAGAGAAAACCTTGATTACTCATGCGGGAACAGGTAAAGCATTATTTCTTGGGACTTACCTTTTTAAAGCTAGAGTGCAAACCCAGCGTCGCAGTGATAAAAATCGTATTGTCCGAAATTCAAGAGAGATTCGCATGGAAGCACCTATTAAACTAATTGTAAATAAATTGACCAAAGCGAATTATGTTCGAAATGGTGTTAGTTGGCCTAAATTTATTTGGCTGCATTGCTCTCTAGAACAAATTGTTGCGCAATATAATTCAGTTTTACGTGGATATATGATCTATTATTCGTTCGTGAATAACCGAGGGGCTATAGCAACATATCTTTACTATCTTCTTCGGGGCTCATGCGCGAAACTTATTGCAGCAAAAATGAAGCTAGGCAGTCAATTGAAAGTGTACGCGAAATATGGTAAAAGTTTAACTGTTAATAAAGAATTAGGACTCGGTTTTCAAAAACCAAGTTATGTGGTGAGGCCGTGGGCTTTTCATACAGACCACATTTCATATCATGTAAATCTTTTCAAGAGGTCGATTTCACCTGCGAGCATTTTAGGTCTTGTGTGTTCGAAGTGCGGTAGTGAG